CTTTCTACTTGAGCCCTTGGTATCAGCTCATTTTCCCCCTCTCCCACCCTCTCTCTCTCATGATCTCTTGATAATTTATAATTTTTCATGTCTTACACTGACCGATGTATCCCTTCACCCACTTTTCTGTTGTCTGTCCCCCTGGGAGGAGGTTATATGTAGATCATTGTGATCGGTGGACTCTTCTAAGTATCAGGCTGTGTCTAACTGCACAGGTCACACACCCATGAAGCCCACCTTGGCACTTTATTTACAAGTTGACCTGCCCTCCCTGCTGGCCCCCTTGCCCTTCTCCACATTTCCAGGTTTTAAAATGTTCTTCGTCACAGCACTCACTGTGTTCATCATATAACCTACTACCGTGTGCTGCCTGTCTCTCCCTGTTAAGAGGCAGACACGAGGAGATCAGGAATCTGATCACTGGTTCATCCCATGAGCTTTGGACAGTGCTTTCTATCTGAGGAGACAGAATACACCAGGGGGCTGCAAAAAGTCTGTGGAAAAATGTAATGGGGGAAAAAATAGGAAAAATTCCCACAAATTCTTTGAAGGTCCCGGGCATGATATGTAAATGAACCCTAACTGGCATGCTACTTCCAAATTCAGGAGGAATACTTATCATTGGACACAGAAGTACTTAATCGTGGCTCAAACAGAGCCCACTTGCACTCAGATACTTCTGGTTCAGAGCTGATAGAGAGAGTGCTACCCCTTTCACCTGCCGAATCGATGATGACATCACATCTAAAAGAGTGGCAGGGCCTTGTATGTGTTCAGGGAGGTTTGGGGCATACCACTCCAGACCTGATGATTATACGTCAGACACTACTTCAAAGTCATCTTACTTCTTAAGTTGGAAAAATGTACATGTTCTTAAAAAATACTCCTAACACAAAAACCTGACACACCTTTCTTGGTGATTGCAGTGAAGAAGACAGTGGGACCCCACGCAACAGCCATGATGGGGGACTCCCTGGTGAAAATAAACGGGGTGCACGTACCAGAAGCAATTGCCGCTGGCCACTTACCGAGTCACCCGCTTCAGTTAACCGATGACGGCCGCTTCAGCGAACTCCACAGCCAGGGAATGGTCAAAGGGACAGCATCCGTGCCATCTCATCTCAGAAGCGGAGGGTCGGTATTTCTTTATCGTTACGATTTAGTATTCTGGTCAGGATAACCGTCTCCTCGATAGGTTTGTTCTCTATCTTAATGCAAATGACTGCTTTGTTTCCCCTCTTGTATAGAAATGAATGTTGAGTTAATGAACGCAGGGTTGGGAGAGGTCTTTTCCTAGGGCTGAATGGAGTTGATTTCGCATCATCCCCTATTTAATCCTCAAGAACACATCCATTCATCCCTGCCGAGTCGGTGCCCTGATCGTCCGCCCGGTCACAAGCTGGTCTTGGCTCTTGGATGACAGCTAATGGTTCTCTTCATGTGTTGGTTGGGAATCTTGCCTGAACTAGAATCTCCTGCCGCACCCACTTTGTGTCCGTTTACTTACCCATTCATTCTCCAGTAGATAGAAATGTCGGGTAAGATATTTATTTTGCCAACGTACGGTTAAGACATAAGAATCCTCAGATTCCATTTGTCTGTATACCCTTCTGATATTTCCTCATCCATGGAAGGATTGAGAACAGCTTTATTGAACACATGTTCTAAAAAGTGCTGCTCTGAGAAGCCATTTTCCTCTCCCATTAGGAATGCCTGGCCACGGGAATTCTCATCCAGGTGTTTGACTATAGCCTTGGGTGGTTGGAGCCTGGGCTTGGGGCTAGAGTGAGGAGAATGGGGCTGCATTACTTCTTCCTATTCCAATCTTTGCCAGTAATGATGCTAAGACAGGAAGAAGGTCTCGACCTGGATAGGCTCACTTGGGGTGGGGGTGGGGTGGGGGGCGTTCTCTAGACATTTCCATTGTGGAAATTTCTGTGGACAACTGCCCTGTTTGAATTTGCTTAACAAGATTAAACGCCCAGGAACATTTTAGGACCGCGTTTTTGTCGCCCTCGAGATTCTGGGTCTGACCCCAGCTGTACACACATGGCAGGCTTGAAACAGTTCCCCACAGTGGCTGACTGGCAGCTTGTTGGTCTGCGCTGAACTGACCCTTCCCACTGGCATCCCCTAGAGTGCCGCACACATAGGCCTTGTATCAGGCGGCCTGGCCGTCCTCGTAATGTCGCTTTGCTTTCAGAACATTGGCTTTTCAATTAGAGGGGAAATGAAATGTCTCCTTAATGGAAGAGAATGACTACCAACGGGGGCTTTGGGAGTTGAGCACAAAATATCCAACTGGCCGGGGCAGGCAAATCTTTTCCAGTTGGTGCATACGACTAGGCTGTGGGCACTTGAGCTTCCTCATAGAGACGGTGAGCAAACGCGTGTTTCTTTGCAAGCTGAAGTCAAAAGCAAACATCTGTCCTGCTTCACCCAACCTCACGGTGATCAAAGGTGACCAGGACAAGGCAGATGAGCGGTTTGATTTGATTTGATGAACTTTGGGATGTCACAGGAGAACTTGGCAGCAGCCAGGATTCATCAAGTCCCCCGCAGCCCGGGGCACAGAGGCATTTTTGGTGATATATCTTATCCCGCTAACAGCAGCAGACAGAGCATTAGGACCGGAAACGCTGCTTCCTGCTTGTCCAAAATTATGAGGTGTTGGCAGCAGCCCTGATTGGTTTTTGTTTGTTTGTTTTATTTTGTCAGGATGGCTTTCTGCATTGTATTAAGATTGTTGTCTGAGCTGGGTTTGGAATATACCCCAGGCAAGTTTAACTTTCAGTAGCTTTGCTGCTTTATAAATGTTGACCCTCTTTTAATCATCGGATGGAATGTTGTTGAAGTTCATGGGTGGCGAGGAGGGGTGCTTCTACAAGGATGCTTCAACAATTTGGTGGAAAGCCTCCATTTTTTTTCATTATTTTTTCCTCCAAATTTTTGAAGCCCCCTCATACAGTAGAATCAAAACGAACTAGAAAATGTCAACTCTTAGCAGTGCTTTCATTAATTACACTTTATGAACCAGCCCGGGCCACTTGATAATTGTTTCTTGTAAACAGCGAAGCGAATCATTCCAAGAAGTGAGCTTTGCTGTGCGATGGAGTATTCCCAGTTTCCACGCTAAAGCCCTCCCCTCAATTCACATTCCCTCCTTCTTTTGACCCTAAATGGAAAAGGCAGGCTCTCTTCAGTGAGCTGGGCTGGCAAGGGAAGGGCAGTAGGAGTAGTGGTGGGGGGTGGGGGGTGAGGTGGAGGGTGGGGC